ATTGGGTAATGAAAAAATGACCGTGGGACATGTTTCGCTATTTTCAGCTTCTGGGAGGCCCGGACAGTCAACAAAAAACAACTCAGGATGGCAAACCAATCCCAGGGAACTGGTCGAGACTTTTGGGGGTCGACGTTATGAACAAACATGACGCTGGGAGTCTGTCCGGGACTCGGGGGGAGGGGAACTCCTCCCTCCTCCATCCTCCCTCCTCCCTGCAGTGAAAGCGCCCCGGACCTGACCCGGCGGGACGCAGGCCCACAAGACCGAAACAGGAGCCGCTCGCGAATCAACTGGCCATCTATCTAGAGGCCTCCCAGATGGGGTCGGAGTAGGAGGAGGAGGAGAAGGAGGAGGAGGAGGAGGCGAAGGAGGAGGAGGAGGAGGAGGAGGAGGAGGACGAGGAGGAGGAGGAGGACGAGGAGGAGGAGGAGGAGGAGGAGGAGGAGGATCGCGCCGCGTCGCCGATACATCAGCGATGCATCGGCGATGCACTGGCGATGCATCGTCGACGTGAGTGATGCATCGGCGACGTCAGCGAGGAGAAAAGCGGACTCCAGAACGAGCCGCATCGCCGATGCATCTGCGGTGCGGCGCGATCCTCCGACACTGTCACTCGGACCCCATCTGGAGGCCTAAGCTATCAGCTCCGAGGGGAATGGTGGGCGAGAGATCGCCAGCGAAGGCACATGGCCTGGCGGGTGGCGGCAGACAGCCCAGGCGCATGTGCTTGCCACAGGGCCCGCCGCCGCGCCTGAATTCCGCTCCCCTGGGGCGGCCGGGGCCACAGGGGGCGGGGCGAGTCTCGGCCTGCCGTGCGCCGACCCTTCCCATGCCCAACGGCCCCCCTCCCTCCTGCCAACTTTGTGCCCTCGGCGGTGGGGAGGGTTCTGACGTCTTTGGCCCCTGTCGGGCCTGCAGGGGACTCTGGGTTCCTCAGGGCCTGGGGCGGGCGAAAACTTACCATCCATCCTCTCCTCCTCCTCCTCCTCCTCCTCCTCCTTCCTCCTCCTCCTCCTCCTCCCCTCTCCTCCTCCTCCCTCCCCTCTCCCTCCTCCTCCTCCTCCATCCCCATCCCCTCTCCTCCTCCTCCTCCTCCTCCTCCTCCTCTCCTCCTCCTCCTGATTCCCTCCCCTTCCTCCTCTTCCTCCTCCTCCTCCTCCTCCTCCTCCTCCTCCTCCTCATCCTCCTCCTCCCTCCTCTTCCGCCAGGTCGCACCGCTCAGCGACGTGCTGTGCACACTGGCTCCAGCTAGCCCGAGTCGGTTTTCCGCTCGCACGGGCGGGTGACTCCCTCCCTCCTCCTCTTCCTCCCGGTCCCTCTCGCCGGCCCGCCCCCCCCCCCCCCCCCCGCTCGTTCCCTGTCCCCGGCCCCCTCCCCGCCCTCCGGTCCCCTCTCCCCGGCCCCCTCCCCGCCACCCCTCTCGCCGGCCCTCCCCCGCCACCCCCCTCCCTCCTCCTCTTCCTCCTCCGCATGCCTCCAGGCACCCCCGAGAGCCTCCGAAAACATAGGGGATCTTCGGGAAACCTCTGACAGCCACGTCCCCAGGGAGCCGCCCGCACGTTCGGCGGCCCCCAGAGGTCCCCGGAGGGCCTCGGGAGGCCGCGAAAAGACCCCGAACGCCCAGAGGTCCGGAGCGCCCTCTTGCTCCAGACTGATCCCGTTCCTCCGCACACCTCCCCCCCCCCCGGCACCCCTCCCCCTCCTCGATCCTCGAAGCTCTGGACCTCCTCGAAGCCCCGCGGCCTGGCCGAGCCTCGCCCCCCCGCGCCCAGGACGGCGTCGGCCGCCCCGGCGCCGCGGGCGCCCAAAGGGGGGGGCCCAGGCGCGCGCGCGGCGCGTGCGTGCAGGCGCGCACCCCCCCTCGGAGGCCACGGCGGGCGCTCCTCGGGGGCGGCCGCGCCAGAGCGGCGATCGGGGGTCGGTGATCGAGCTTCGGCGGTGGAGGCTCGAGGCTCCGCGATCGAGGCTCGACGATCCGAGGCCGCGCTGACGGCGTGCTCGACTGACGGTGCGGTTGGGACGATTGCTTTGTGGCGCCGAGCTCACGCAACACAAGATGTAGGAAGCCACGAAACGATGTTTCCTACACTTCAGAGATGCGAATGCCTCGAGAGAACACGACACAGCGAGTTGTAGGAGAACACGGACCACGCGTTCGTACAATTGGTTTGGCCACGAACCATGCCTTCTTACAATTGGTTGTCCTGCTTCGCCGTTGGCTAACACATCGCTACTTCGTCTACAGGCGATGAACGATCGAGGTTTCTGGTTCGAGGCCTTAGCTGTCCCGATGCGCAACACGCAGCCCGCTGCGTGCTGACACGGGGCTCCACACGCAGACCGAAAAGACGTAGGTCTGGGGCGATGCGTTCGCCAGCACGTGGGCCACCACGTGCTGAGCCAACACGCAACGTGTTAGCACGGACGTTTTGAACACGGCACGTGCCGCATGCCAACATGAGGAGGGTAGGCTTGAAATCCTCGTCGACCGTGGTTCATTATCTAGGAATGAAAACCTAGGTTCGTTATCTGCAGACGATACCCTATGGATTATTGTTATGTGAATGGATCGGGCTCACCCCCCCCCCTGGCCGAATTCTTATCTTTCCGGAATAATCAACCTAAGTTTAATATTCCAACATTATGAACCAAAGTTTATTCCAAACCAGAACGTACCCCCAAACGGCGCCCCCCAAGCTCAATCACTATCATTCCAGAATAATTAACCCGGGCCGGGAACATTATGAATCCGGATTTATCATCTCCTGGAGATAATGAACAGCGGTAAATATTCCGACATGAAAAACCTGGTGAAGATCCTGGGGGTTGGGGGATGAATAATAATTACTCTCATTCCGGAATGACGAAAAACGAATTCATTATTCCTGGGACATTATAAACCCCTGTCAATATTCCCGGAACATTATGAACCCAGGTAAATATGTTTTGGGGGTCGATATCCCCAGAACATTATAAACCAGGGTTATCATGCTCCGGGGGGAACATTATGAACCCCAGTCAATATGCCCAGAACATTAAAACCCAAATTCATAATGTTCCGGGCGAGACATGATGAACCGGGGTCAATGATCCCAGAACGTTATGAATCCAGGTTAATGTATTTTTGAGGTCCATCCTGAACACGAGCGTATCAGGGCAACGAATAAAAAACGAAACAACGGCATAACCATACGTAACCTTCTAGAGCTCCGTGCGTATCTCTTGGATTGGCGCTGGATGCGCCGCCAGGAGGGCCCAGCGCCGATCCCAAACATCCGCGCGGAACTCCGATAATTTAGGTTTATGCCGTGCTTCGTTCTTCGAAATAAGACGATCGAGGGCGGCCCGCGTGTACCGTGTCTGGGGCTCGTGGGAGGCGGCGAGGTCGCGCGAAGCACGGCCGATGCCCTCGCGATTTCGCCGCGGGGGGGACGGCAGGGCAGGATAGCAAAGGGTATGGCAAAGAATCAGCCCACATAGCTGATTTTCCTGGCGCCTCCTGGCGCAAGGGAGCACCCATCTATCCTGGAGAATGGGCAAGGCGGCGTGGCAGAAACCAGTTGCACGCAACAGCTTCCGTACCCCCCCCCCCACCTTTACCTGTCCTGCCCTTCCGCCTGGCCCAACTCCAAAGGCACACGACACAGTATAAACATAATTTCTCTGAGGCCCGCGCGGACTTCTGGGATCGGCTGTGACTTCTGGGATGAGGCCCGCGCGGCGCGCGCCGCGGCGCCAGAGGCGCCGCCAGGGGGGGGGGGCCAAGGACGAGGCCGATCCAAGAAATTCACGCTGACCTCAGAGACATTATGTTTACGTATTGTGTGTTTGGGAGATTTGGATTGCCCCCTCTGGCGGTGGCCAATACAGCAGTGACCGTCACGGCGAGCCTCAGTCACGAACAGGTTCCCCAACCTAGATCTCATGCGCAGTCCGAAAGCCAGGGCCCCTCCTGAGCCCAGAGTGGTCCTTGCCTCAGAGTCTTGGCAATAACAGACGTCCTGGGGATCATCGAGTCTGACATCTCCAGGCAGCGGACACCCCTGGACTCTAACTGCTCCAGGAAGCGGACACCCCTGGACTTTCAAGGACGCCCTATGGCCCCAAACCGCTTCGATCCTCGATCCTCCCTCCTCCTCCTCGATCCTCGGCTTCCAGGAGGTGGTGACCCCCACTCCTACGATGGTGACCTGGCCCCCTTGGCACTGGCAACGTCTGGGAACCTCGACCTCATTCGAACGCAATGTTGACCAGACGTCTGGGACCCGGCGGGTCTGGGGACTGGGTCTGGGACGCGGCGGGCCCGAATCGAGATCATTGCCCCCCCCCCAAGGATGTCGACATCCTCCTCCGCCTCCTCCCATTCCCCCGCCTCCTCCTCCTCGTCCTCCTCTTCCTCCTCGTCCTCCTCCTCCTCCTCCTCGTCCTCGTCCTTCTCCTCCGCCTCCTCCCCCTTCCCCTCCTCCTCCTCCTCGTCCTCCTCCTCGTCCTCCTCCTCCTGAAGGTGTAAGGCATCAAGCACGCCGCTGGATCGCCAGCAGCCCTGGAAAGAGTCGGCAGCCTCGCAGCTCGCAGACCCCCAGGGATGGCGAGGCCTAGCGAATGCGAGTCTGCGCAGGGCGTCACTCCGCTGGACGCTGGAACCCCAGCAGCCCTCGAAAATGTCGACGATTTCGCTGCTCAAGCAGTGCTGCCCCGGGGCCGCAGGCAGGCACCGGGGCTGCACGACTGGCAGCGACAGGAGGAGGAGGACGAGGAGGAGGGAGGAGGAGGAGGAGGAGGAGGAGGAGGAGGAGGAGGAGGAGGATGGGGGGAGGGGGAGGGGGGAGGAGGAGGAGGAGGAGAGGAGGAGGAGGAGGAGGAGGAGGAGGAGGAGGAGGAGGAGGCCGAGGAGGCCGAGGAGGAAGATCCGCTCTCGATCGCGACGGGTCTGGGGACGCCGCGCGCACGGCCGGCCGGCCGGACGGCGCATTGAGCCAGGCGGGGCGGGCCCCCCCTCACTCCGTCTCGCTGTCCTCGACGCGGCTCTTCCGGGGGCGCCCCCCTGCGGGAGGCGGGGGGGGGAGACGAAGCGGAGATCCAGGCACCCAGCGATGCAGTCGGGCCACTGAAGGAGGAGCCCTTTTCGTTTGGGAGGGGCTCAGTGTTCCTTTCTTGTGTTCCAGTTTTTCTTAGGTTCTCCGTCGGTATTCTATGGGAGATCGAGGTTGAACGTGTGGGGACAGTGGACTCGCCCCTCACCTGAGGGTTCCTTACGATAGCGTGTCGACTGCATGCATTGATCAGTCACGGCGCTCTTCCTCCGCAGCGGCCTCTGGGGCCCGACATCGGGCCCCAGGGCCATCGCACGTGCATCCTGGAGGGAAGGAGGCTCGGTGGTCTGCTCCTCGATGGCCTGCTCTGGCCATATCTGGGAGGACCGGAACGAAGCGACCCCGCGTCGAGGGACCGACACCCCGGCGGCAGGAAGCCCCAGGCAGCTTCACGCCGTTGCGATGGGGTCCACGATGGGCTTCCATCCTTCGGGTGAGGGATCTGGAGAGATTAATCGAACAAGCGTGATAAAACCAAGTATGACAAAAAAACAAGCGTGATACAAGAACAAGTGTGATAAAACAGACAATTGTGTTGTATCACACTTGTTTTCTTTTATCGCACCTGAAAGGTAGGGATCAGGATGGGGATGCGGATAACTTAGGGATGGCGCTGGGAGGCTACGGGAGGCAGCGGGACGCCGAGGAAGGCAGTGGGAGGCTACGGGAGGCCACGCCGCCCGACCGCTTCCGCATCCGGAGACGCACCATGCCACGGGATGCCGCGGCCATGGGAGGCCACAGGAGAGAGAGAGAGAGAGAGAGATCAAACCTCCGAGGATGCGCCGCAGTCATTGTGGATGCCACGACAATGGACACCCTAACAGTCCGATCATCGAATTAAACATGTGTTTAAGCTTGAGGGAAATGTCATGCAAATGTTGAGAACATATATATTACATCTTTAGAGCAGTTTTAACACATTTCTAGACATCTGGAAATTATTTGGCAACATGCTTCCTCTCCATTGATCGTCCTCCACAACCCTATCATCCTGCGGCAACTCTTGAGCTGGAGGGCCCCTGGGCCCAGAACAGAGCGAAGTCGCCAAGTGTGAAAAAGTGCGATCGGCCACAATCTCTGGGCTCACGGACAGGAGCTCTTGCTCAGCGTGGCGCGGCACCGAACCCTGCGACACGCTAGGCCTTGCAGGCTGATCGCGTGTCGCTCCGCTCCGCGGGACGGGAGGCCGGGGCAAGGCCGGGACGCTGACGCTTGGCGACCGTGACGTGCTCAGCGTGTCCCGCCGAGGCGCGGTAAAACAACACTGGCGGCGCCACAGGCCAAACGAAGATTCTTGTCCTGAGCGTTTTGCATGACAGAGAGACGGCTCGGAAAACGGGTCCTGGACCTGCAGGGCCTTCCCCCAGTCGCTCTGTGATGTTCCCAGGGCCCGTGGAAGGCCCCGAGAGCCTGAAAACGGCGAAACACCTCGGGACCTGCTTCCTTCAGGACCCTCTTCCTTCATGGCGAACCGTACTCGGGGGCGTCCAGGAGTCCAAGAGGAAGGGTTGCAAAGCATGGCCCGAGGCACGTGCGCGGCTCAGGGGGGGACCCGGGAACGCCTTGAAATGAGAAGAGGGGCCATGACATCGGGAGAGAGATCATGGCCTTGGCCATGATATCCACACCTCCTAGTCATCACCACCCTCCCCACAAATCCGATGTCGGGTTTCTTTCAATACGGGGTCTCCGGAAGTCTCGACCCATTCCCCAGGACCGGTTATTCCTCCTGAGTCGTTTTGTTGACGGTCCCGGGGCCCGGCGAGGGTTGCTAGAGGCCGAAAATCGAGCAAAACCTCCGTTTTGTTTTTTTCAGTACCTTGGAGGTCTGGGTCTCGGCCGCTCCCAGCGTGCGAGGCCCCGAGCCACAGCCACACACCCGACCGGGCTCCAGCCCGGCGCTGCCGCAGAGGAGAGAGGTGGGCGTCGCGTGCGGGCGGGGGGGGGAGCGCCAGCCTCCGCTGCTCGCTCTCTCGTCGCCCGCGAAGAAGACAAGCAGCGCCTGCTGCGGGTGGGCGGGCGCGGGGAGGGGGGGAGGAGAAGGGGGG